AGCCTTTATGTTCTTTTTGCTCAGCAGCGGTTTTCGTCTTGCCATGCAGCCATGCAGACCATTTTTGCCCAGTCTCTTTCTTATGGTGGAGTCATGAACACTGACCTTAACTGAGGCAATGCAGTTCTTGCCTGCAGTTCTTTGGATGTTGTTGTGGGGTCTTTTGTGACCTCTTGGATGAGTCGTCGCTGTGCTCTTGGGGTAATTTGGGTCGGCCGGCCACTCCTGGGAAGGTTCTCCACTGTTCCATGTTTTTGCCATTTGTGAATAATGGCTCTCACTGTGGTTCGCTGGAGTCCCAAAGCTTTAGAAATGGCTTTATAACCTTTTCCAGACTGATAGATCTCAATTACTTTCTTTCTCATTTGTTTCTGAATTTCTGCATGATCTCTAGCTTTTGAGGATCTTTTGGTCTACTTCACTTTGTCAGGCAGGTCCTATTTAAGAGATTTCTTGATTGCGAACAGGTGTGGCAGTAATCAGGCCTGGGTGTGGCTAGAGAAACTGAACTCAGGTGTGATAAACCACAGTTTTAACAGGGGGGCAAACACTTCTTCACACAGGGCCATGTAGTTTTGGATTTTGTTTTCCCTTAATAATAAAAACCTTCATTTAAAAACTGCATGTTGTGTTTACTTATGTTATCTTTGACTAATATTAAAATTTGTTTGATGATCTGAAACATTAAAGTGTGACAAACATGCAAAAAAATAAGAAATCTAGAAGGGGGCCAACACTTTTCACACCACTGTATTATGTAAACAAAAACTTTGATTTTGGATGCGATTAATCATTTGACAGCACTAATTAAAATTGTTGGGGGGCCTATAATAATAGCCTGCGATATTTAATTCAAAATAGTGAAATTAAAAAAAATAAAAATAAAATTTAGATCACTGGATATTACTGTTGTTTAACATTGCTATCATAAAACAGTTGTCAAGTACTTAGCCACTTGCATCTTTCACTGTTAAAACTGAAGCAGTGCACTTTCAGTAGAGGGTCTCTCATGTTGCGTTACATATATTATAATATCTTCATTTGAGTTTTGAAAATGAACAGGAGTTTTTTGTTTGGAAAGACATGAGGATGAGTAAAGCATGTAACTAACACAAGTTGTCATGTTTTCAGCATGCTGTACGTTTAACATTAAAGTAATTGTGTTCCAGAATTTTCAAGCTCCTGTCAATCAAGTCTTCCCTGCTGAAGATGATGTCAACAAACATGTGGAGGACAACTGTAAGTGTTACTGTGTTTGAGATCTTCATGTTATGTGTTGGATAAAATGACAGCACTGACTAATGATTTCATCTGTTTGTGTGTGTGTGTGTGTGTGTGTGTGTGTTACAGGCTCACTGATGTACTTGAATGAAGCCACGCTACTAAATAATGTCCGTGTGCGCTACAGTAAAGATAAGATTTATGTGAGTATTTTTCTGTTGCAAATGTTGTCTTGAAGATTCTGTATGTCCAAAAAATGAAAATTAGCCCATAAATTACTACATCCTAGGTGTATATGACTTTCTTCTTTCAGACGAATCCAGTCGGAGTTATATAAAAAATTGTCTTTGATCTTTCAAGCTGTTTCATGGCACTCAGCGGGTGTTGCATGCATCAGTCCAAAAGAAGTTAAATAAAAAGTGCCCATCCATAAGAAAAGTCTCACACGGCTCTGGGGGGTGAACAAAGGCCTTCTGTAGTGAATTGATGCGTTTTTGTAAGAAAAATATCCATATTCAAAATGTAATAATCACTTTAATGTAGCTTGCGCTCACTGTTGTACACGGAAGCTGTTCCGGGCGGATGACGTAAGGAGGTCGGGTTTGCGCATGCGCCGCTCAGAAGAACGCGGAAGCGCAGCGGAGAGATCAAAACAAAACAGCGGACACTAATTAGAAGAACAAAACGAGGATTTGTAAAGAAGAATGTCAGAGGGGTGAGTAATTTATGGACTAATTTTCATTTTTGGGTGAACTAACCCTTTAAGTTGCAGAGCATTGATCTCTCTCGGCCACTGTACTTGAGCCCACAGTATAATTTTCTTGTTTTCTTGTTATGAAAAGTAATTTTAATAATCCGCACAGTCCGCTGATGTCCGTGTGCTGCCCGATTTTTCTCTTTACATGGATTTGTTTGTGAACAGCATTGAATGTTCAAGTGATTCAACGATCAAATTGAAAGGTTCTCTGTGTTTTGCACATACATCATCTAGACGTGTGGTGAATAGAGTATACTTTAAAAGTGTGTGAAACTAAGCAGTATGCAAAAAAACTGAAAAACCTAGGCTCAAATATACCCAGGCCTTTAGTGTCACCATAAGACCGCTTCAGCTTTTTGAAGACATAGTTGCTTTATAGTAAATTTATTAAATGAGTAAAAAAAAACGGTATATTTGCATAAATAGGCCAATAAATGCTATTTTTAATTAATTATTAATTTTTTTGCATTGTTAATTTATAAAAAAATACACTACCATTCAAAAGTGTTTTTAGGATAATTATTTCTTTTTGAGTACAATTTGATGCAAAGATTGAAATGTTTAATTTCTATGTTAAAATTAACTTTTAAAGATTTTTAAAGTAAAAAATGACAAGATGATAGAACAGTCCTGTTATCATAATGAAGAAAAAAGCCTCAATCAATCAGTCAATCAATAGTAAAAAAAAATAAAGGACTTGCCATTTTTTATTTCTTTTTTTTTTTTTTATCTGAAAACGGTTCTCTGCCAAAAAATAAAAATGCATTCATTGGGTGCTTTCCTGCTGCTTGCTTTGTGTTGCAGACGTTTGTTGCCAACATCCTGATTGCTGTGAATCCATATTTTGAGATTCCCAAGCTGTATTCTCCAGAGACCATTAAACAGTACCACGGCCGGTCGCTGGGCACGCTGCCTCCTCACGTCTATGCAATTGGTAAGCAAGGCTGCAAGAAAAGGCATGGGCCGTTTATGTGGGTGGGCCTACGTATATGCTAAACGTAATGCAGAGGCAGTGAAATTAAGGCTTCTCAGTCATGTACAAAAATATATACAGGTGCATCTCAATAAATTAGAATGTCATGGTAAAGTTAATTTATTTCAGTAATTCAATTCAAATTGTGAAACTCATGTATTAAATAAATTCAATGCACACAGACTGAAGTAGTTTAAGTCTTTGGTTCTTTTAATTGTGGTGATTTTGGCTCACATTTAACAAAAACCCACCTATTCACTACCACCATCTCAACAAATTAGTATATGGTGACATGCCAATCAGCTAACCAACTCAAAACACCTGCAAAGGTTTCCTGAGCCTTCAAAATGGTCTCTCAGTTTGGTTCACTAGGCTACACAATCATGGGGAAGACTGCTGATCTGACAGTTGTCCAGAAGACCATCATTGACACCCTTCACAAGGAGGGTAAGCCACAAACATTCATTGCCAAAGAAGCTGGCTGTTCACAGAGTGCTGTATCCAAGCATGTTAACAGAAAGTTGAGTGGAAGGAAAAAGTGTGGAAGAAAAAGATGCACAACCAACCGAGAGAACATCAGCCTTATGAGAATTGTCACGCAAAATCGATTCAAGAATTTGAGTGAACTTCACAAGGAATGGACTGAGGCTGGGGTCAAGGCATCAAGAGCCACCACACACAGACGTGTCAAGGAATTTGGCTACAGTTGACGTATTCCTCTTGTTAAGCCACTCCTGAACCACAAACAACGTCAGAGGCGTCTTACCTGGGCTAAGGAGAAGAAGAACTGGACTGTTGCCCAGTGGTCCAAAGTCCTCTTTTCAGATGAGAGCAAGTTTTGTATTTAATTTGGAAACCAAGGTCCTAGAGTCTGGAGGAAGGGTGGAGAAGCTCATAGCCCAAGTTGCTTGAAGTCCAGTGTTAAGTTTCCACAGTATGTGATGATTTGGGGTGCAATGTCATCTGCTGGTGTTGGTCCATTGTGTTTTTTGAAAACCAACGTCACTGCACCCGTTTACCAAGAAATTTTGGAGCACTTCATGCTTCCTTCTGCTGACCAGCTTTTTGAAGATGCTGATTTCATTTTCCAGCAGGATTTGGCACCTGCCCACACTGCCAAAAGCACCAAAAGTTGGTTAAATGACCATGGTGTTGGTGTGCTTGACTGGCCAGCAAACTCACCAGACCTGAACCCCATAGAGAATCTATGGGGTATTGTCAAGAGGAAAATGAGAAACAAGAGACCAAAAAATGCAGATGAGCTGAAGGCCACTGTCAAAGAAACCTGGGCTTCCATACCACCTCAGCAGTGCCACAAACTGATCACCTCCATGCCACGCCGAATTGAGGCAGTAATTAAAGCAAAAGGAGCCCCTACCAAGTATTGAGTACATGTACAGTAAATGAACATACTTTCCAGAAGGCCAACAATTCACTAAAAATGTTTTTTTATTGGTCTTATGAAGTATTCTAATTTGTTGAGATAGTGAATTGGTGGGTTTTTGTTAAATGTGAGCCAAAATCATCACAATTAAAAGAACCAAAGACTTAAACTACTTCAGTCTGTGTGCATTGAATTTATTTAATACACAAGTTTCACAATTTGAGTTGAATTACTGAAATAAATGAACTTTTCCATGACATTCTAATTTATTGAGATGCACCTGTACTATTAGCTTGTATAAATGTTAATATTCCATGTATATATTTGTATTTTTTAATGTTTTTATTTGTTATATTTAGCGGATAAAGCTTATCGTGACATGAAGGTGTTAAAGATGAGTCAGTCCATCATTGTGTCGGGAGAGTCAGGAGCCGGAAAAACCGAAAACACCAAGTTTGTTCTCAGGTATAGAAAGGTCTCCATATTATATACTGAATTATTAATAAAAAGTTAATATTATAAGGCTATAAGCACATCTGCATAATCCTTTATTCTGTACTTGTTTTATTCGGTTACGCTTTCCTCTCACAGGTACTTAACTACATCTTATGGTACAGGTCAAGACATTGATGAAAGAATAGTTGAAGGTACGTTTGAAGGACTTTACTATACTAATATAAATTTGTACTCCACTATACTGTAACTACAGTAATGCAAGTTATAGAAAATAACAACTATTTTCTGTTTGTTTCTAGCAAACCCACTGCTCGAGGCGTTTGGAAATGCCAAAACTGTCCGAAACAACAACAGCAGTCGCTTTGGGAAGTTTGTGGAGATTCACTTTAATGAAAAGGTGTGTTTTGTACAAAAGCCTCACCACAAACACAAAACTGTGAAGCTTTTTAAATAACAATGTACAATTTAAGCTTATCAATGAGTATTACAAAAACACCCATGACAGAAAGATCCCTGGAGGCCCCGCAATAAATAAAATGACAAAAAGCTTCCCTCCCTAACTATCAAACCCAAGAGAAAACACTCGCATATATAAAGAAAAGGGCACCCACTCTCTATCATGCTCCAACTACAACAACGGTTGGGAAAATAGGAGCCAAAATAAACAAAGCACCAACCAAGATCACAAATGAATCAGCATTAAACATAGTATCTACAACAATTGTCTAGTGTACCGATCACCATGTGTACAGCACTATGGTTACATTATGCCAGCTCTACGTCAAGGACACCATGAAAGCAGGGATCCCATGAGTCCAAGCTTCAGGAGACATAAATACAGCAACAACCACTCCCAGGATCGATCATGTCATCCCTCATTAGCCTCTCCATCTGTAATCAATACAGCTAGAGAGTAAAGACACAGCGGATACACAGCAAACAGTTGTACACAATACACACCCAAAATTACTGTTCAGAAACATCCACAAATAACTTTTGTTTTGAGTTTGGTCACACTTTAGTTTTGGGATGAAATCTCACTATTAACTTACTATTAACTACAACTTTTGCCTAATTACTGCTTATCAATAGTTAGCAAGCTAGTTTATTAAGTAGGATTAAAGGATCTGAAATATGATCATGCAGAATAAGATATTAATGTGTGCCATATGCGTACCAATAAATATCCAATAAGCTAGTTATATGCAATAAGCAACTAGTTAAAGGGCACCTATTATGCAAAATTCACTTTTATATGTTGTTAGATAATTGTGTGTTGCAGTGTGTGTACACAACCACCCTATAATGATAAAAATCCACCCGCTCCTTTTTTTTAATCATCATAAATCATAAGCATTGTCTCAGAACAAGCCATTCTCAGAATCCGTAAAATGTGACGTCACATTTTACCAGCCCTGCCCACATCCGTTGACGGACACTGCTGTATTAGCATAGACCCCGTCCTGAGTAAGCCGCGGCACACAATCCGCCATGTTTATCTTCACGCTAGACAATTTAAAAGCAGCATTCAAGCAAGAAATATCTTCTTAACACGCATATCTATTATAAACGTGATTTCTTTCCCAGCTGTTTACCTTCACAGACATAACCAACTGTGTTTTTGTAACTTCTGCATGTTTATAACATAAACTTGTGTGTATTTGACTTTTAAAGGCACAATATGTCATTTTCGCAGCTAGAGGGCGCATATTCAAAACAAACAAAGAAACAAAGGCATAGTTTGATGACGCGTGACTGAGTGTGGAATCATGGGAGTTGTGGTCTTCATCCCCACAGCCGATGCAATCTGACAGGACTCGGGCAGAAATCATGTTCATGGATGAGCTAATGATTTATTAATGTAGTAGAATGAAGCAGGGTGAGGCTGAAAGCCGTTGAAGCGAAATGAGGCCACTGAACGAGCGTGACACACGGCTCGAAAGCAGCAGAGCTTTTATTATGCCACAGTCGACCGCTTCCGCTCCTTCCGGTCGTGCGTATGTGGGGTAAAGCAGCGCTGTTTTATCGAGGAAATCGAGGGTGTATGACGTCATTGGCAGGCGACACAATGACACTATGGACACGGTCCGCGTCACTAGTTAAAATGGCTTATTTCTCTGGATTTAAACATTCTTCTAAACATTTGGGATAATGTAAGTACACAAGTCAGCAAAATATATAACACTGTTCTAGTGGTTTTTGGATATTTTAATAAAAAAATCTTACATATTGTGCCTTTAAGTGCAATAAGACATGAAAGAAAACCGGAGATCAAAACTTTAAACTGATATGGCTTTAAAAAGCATGATTTCAGAGCAATAGACATGATAATCAATAACAATCACATGTTTTTTAGCAGAGTATATCTGAGGGACGAACTGTAAAGGCAGCCCTATTCTGGAAAAGGGGGCATTTGCGTTTAAAGAGACATGCACTAAAACAGCCTGTTTCTGCTTCCACTCAAAATAAGCATTTTCAAAATGATATAATTCATGATCTGTGGGGTATTTTGAGCTGAAACTTAACAGACACATTCTGGGGACTCCTGAGACTTATTATTATTAAATATATATTACATCTTGTATGTAAGGGGCATGATAGGTGCACTTTAATAGTGAGAATTGGTCCCTAAACTAAGTTTGTTGTTATGTTGTACACAGAGTGCAACTCCATATGATGTTGCAGTTGTTGTAATTAATGTGACGAGTAGTGATGCTGATGTGTGGATTTGTACATTAACTAGTTACATGTTTATTTGAACGTAGTGCTGATTTGTTTTCCAGAATGCAGTAGTAGGTGGTTTCGTGTCCCATTACCTGCTGGAGAAGTCCCGTATCTGCACGCAGGGCCAGGAGGAGAGGAACTATCACATCTTCTACAGGCTGTGCGCTGGAGCTCCTGAAGACATCAAGGAGAAGTTCCACCTCAGCTCTCCAGACTGCTTCAGGGTTTGTGAACTCACAGACTGACACATACACTTACACTACACTTTCACCTCTGTAGAATAGCCAGGGAGTGATTTCACAGTCTCAGTAAAGACATTAACAAGCACCCTGTCATTTACTTTGACATGTTTCAATTAGGGGTGCTCCGATCAGGATTTTTGAGCAGTATCTGCCGATACGATCACCGATACCGATCTTTTTAAAGCCTTCCTTTTATCATGTAGAATTATTTTTAGTAATACTCCAATCATTTATACATTTATTCAAAAATTTCATTTTTGAAAATGGGGGGGGGTTCCCTCTTATAGGTGACTCTTGTGAGAGGAGATTTTTTTTCTTATTATTATCATTTGAGGGGTGGAGGGAAGCATTTTTTAGACATTTTTCAAAAATATATATTTATCTCACCTAAATGTTTGATCATGCAGTGCATTTTAAACATCCCAAAGCGATTATCGGCCGATAGTGATCGGTTGTCGATCAATTGGAGCACTGGTTTCAATTCAGGTTGAGTGTGTGATCATCCAAAGTGTTGAAAAATGTAAAATTATACTAAGTAGAGTAATCCTTGACTGTCTGCCAGGTGTTCTTTCAAAGGTGTTCTTTTACTGAACATTTCTTGTATACACTTTCTGTTTAATCCAGTATCTAAGTCGAGGATGCACAAGGTACTTTTCTACCAAGGATTCAGACAAGCTGATACCTCAAAACCGCAAGAGTCCAGAGGTAATGCATTTATTTCCAATTCCTTCTCTGTATAATCTGAGAGACTGCCACCAATTTGTTTTTGTTAGTTTGGGTGGGGAAGAATTGATTATGGACATCAGGAAGCTGATGTTTTACAGGCAGAAACATTGTTGGTCACACTTTATTTTAAGGTCCAATTCTTGCTATTAATAAACCATTAACTACGACTTTTCCCTCAATAAACTCCTAATTTGCTGCTGCTTAGTAGTTAGTAAGGTAGTTGTTAAGTTTAGGTATTGGGTAGGATTAGGGATGTAGAATATGCTCATGCAGAATATGTGCTTTATAAGCACTAATAAACAGCCAATATGATAGTAATATGCAGGCTAATAAGCAACTAGTTAAGCATGAGAATTGGTCCCTAAAGCGTTACCACATTGTTTTATCATGCATTGGTCAATTTTGAGATTTGAGATTAAACTGTTGTTTCAGGCTACTGGAAAGAAAACACTCAAAATAGACTTAGGTGTTTATTTTATTGCAGTTTATCAATTTGTGCCTGTACAAAGGCCGTTTTCTCAAAATGAGTTTTTTTTTCTCCTGCACAAATCCAGTTTCATTCGTTTTATTCCTGTTTACATTTATTCCGGTTTTAACAGAGGGATTTGTACATATATCATATTTTATACAAAGGTTTTTTTTTATATATGTATATGTTTTGGATTATGGAACAGTAGGTGATTGGTCTTTGAAGGGTCAGTCAAGGGTCACTGGTGGACGTGGTTCTGGTTTAATGGCAGCATTGATTCAGCATGAGTGATATATCTTGTCCTTTGCAAGCGTCTACACTTGTGTTTGGTTGCTGGTCTATGGCTTGATTTTAATTCTCAGATACTAGGCCTTTTGTTAATGACCGTATATTGTGTGTAATTCAAGCATGATTATGTTCATACTAATCTAATCACTGCACTAATCATGTGTAACCTCATTGTCTGTGGTTGTGTGTTTGTGTGTATCTGATACATCAAAGGATGAGAAGGTGAATATATGTGTGCTGTGCAGTCAGAGGGGCTTTGCTTTTCTTCTCTCCTTTTGTCATATAAATACATGACCTGGGTCCAGTGCATTTCATGGTTTGTTATACTTATTGTGGACTTGTGTATTGCATGGAAAGTGGTTTCATTTAATTCAATCGGTCTCTTATAGTTAACAAACCTAAAGGAATATTTTGGTTTCAGCACTAGTTAATTTCACCAAATCTGTGCTTTCCTTAAAAAGAAAGCAAAAAACTGTTATATGAACTCTGTCTGTATGAAGTTATATCTAATATTGTAACATTCTCATGCTATTTCCATGCAACACTTGAAAAAAGCATATGAAATATATTTGACCCAGATCTTGTAAAAAATGGGGAGTTTACTTTCATTTCTTGGGAGCGAAACTGTCATTCCCTTCCACTGTTTTGGCTTTTCCTAAGGTAATGGGATATTGTTCTCTTAATATTGCTGTTTTTGTCACAAATAGTGGTAGTAGTATTACAGCAGGCTGCTAGTGCTATTTTAAAATCCACCACATTGAGTGACACTCTTGCTATACTGGCAGTTTTTGTGTCCATTAGCATTATCTGCTCCTCTCATAAGACACATTTCTCTTTAGCCTCTGCATTTGTGTACCAAAATACCTTCAGCTTCCTTTCAAGTGTTTTTGAACAAAATGCCAGCAACTTATCGATTTATTGACAATAGTTTTGGCTCAGTTTTATCAGGCATCTGGGGGATGCAAAGTCTCTGCCATTTAAAAATATCCACACGGTTGCATCAAACTCGTGATTGTTATGAGGACTTATGAGAGAATTTTGTGAAAGTCATGATAGTAGTAATAGAGTTTATCTGTGGCTGTCACCACAAAAGAAACAAGTCCCAATTCACACACAGTTTATGATGAGAAGTGAACAGTGAGAAATCCTTCCAACATATCACTGCTGCACTTGGATAAATTAAGAAATTAATGAGGTTATATCTAGATTCTGCAGTGTCTTGATGTTGAGATATGTGTACGACACCAGGGTCAAGATCATCATTGTCGTCAGTGGATTGACTAAATAAAGTTCACATGGGAAAATGTTGAGGACAACAAGTGCACTTTACAATATAAGAGGGTGGAGTATCAGACATCAAAGACTGTCGAAAACCTACATGCACCTACCATATTCCTTTTTTTCTTAGATGAACTACTATGACCTGAAATCTTACCTCATTTTATATCTTTCAGTAAATTGAATAAAAATACAAGTATGAACATATAGGCTAATGGCAAAGTTTCTGTGTAAGATTGTACTCGAGTCTTAAAAAATCATAATAAAATGAAAGCTCAACTATAAAATTACATTTTCTATCACAATGATATGAACACAGTGCCTCAGCCCCTGTGGCTTAACAAACCGGTTTGCGAGACCCTTTGTTATTTGATGCGCATCACTCCAAAGTCAATAGAAAGCTGCATGTTTGAGCTGACAACAAACCGACCAGCTCAGAAATCTGAGAGCTTCTATATGTGGTCAGAGAAATTTCAAAAAGCACAGCATTCCTGCGCATTTCAACCGGAAGACTAAAAGTGCGGTCACTGTTCTGATTGTGCAGATTCCTGATGGATGTTGCCTGTGAATTTTCGCAGAACAACAGTGGTGGCATACAGCTACAAGGACTTAAAGCAAGATGCAAAGAATGCATAAGAATACAGGAAACTTTAATGTAATTAAGGTTGTCTACAGTTATATTAGAGAAACTGAACAACAGCATATTAGTGACAACTTTACCTCCGGTACATCTGAGTTTACAACCTGAGGTCACTGACGTGGAGTCTATAGAGACAGAGCGACACGCATCATAAGTTGAAAACCACGCCCACACCGGGGGGGGAAACAATCCAACGCTCTCCATTGACTTTGTATTGCGGGAAGCTGCCTCCTTGTCATTTCTGACTTATAACAACAAAACAGAACAATGCCTAAAAGCTGCTGTGTGACAAGGTGTACAGTAAACAAGCTAAAAAACCCAGAACTAAGTTTTTATAAGCTGTCGACCCCAAAAAAACAAGCGTTTAGGAACTCAAAAGTAAAGCGCGACGCGTCACATTACTCTGTGAACTACGCCCACTAGATGAAACCGTAATTGGCTACAGGAAACATTCATTATTTTTAACCATGTCAAAGGATTATTTCACCAACCATTAGAGAAACTGAACAACAGCATATTAGTGACAACTTTACCTCCGGTACATCTGAGTTTACAACCTGAGGTCACTGACGTGGAGTCTATAGAGACAGAGCGACACGCATCATAAGTTGAAAACCACGCCCACACCGGGGGGGGAAACAATCCAACGCTCTCCATTGACTTTGTATTGCGGGAAGCTGCCTCCTTGTCATTTCTGACTTATAACAACAAAACAGAACAATGCCTAAAAGCTGCTGTGTGACAAGGTGTACAGTAAACAAGCTAAAAAACCCAGAACTAAGTTTTTATAAGCTGTCGACCCCAAAAAAACAAGCGTTTAGGAACTCAAAAGTAAAGCGCGACGCGTCACATTACTCTGTGAACTACGCCCACTAGATGAAACCGTAATTGGCTACAGGAAACATTCATTATTTTTAACCATGTCAAAGGATTATTTCACCAACCTATGTGAACCTGAGAGGAGGAGATATATTGAGAAACTAAATTTTAAATTTTAAATGTCAGTGCCCCTTTTCCTAACCTTCCTTTTGTTTGAGAAATGATCCAACTGAATGGCCCAACGTGAAATACCCCGACATCTACAACTATTTGTGTCCTTAAATGCTCGATTTTTTTGGGTCGAGAGCTTATAAAGGGTTTTTTAATTCAATTCAATTCAAGTTTAATTGAATAGCGCTTTTCGCGAAACAAATCGTTGCAAAGCAGCTTTACAGAAAATTACGTTTCTACAATATATTTAGTAGTAGCTTATCAGTGACTATGACTGTCAAATTGATGTACAAATGGCAGAAATGTACGGTAAAATTCGGTTAATGACGTAATCAAACAGACGATGAACATTATTAACAGCAATGATTAGATGTTGCAATCAAACTTGTAGCAAAATTTGGTAGTTTTTGTTGTTTCAGGGTTGGCATCATCTGAGGTCCTCTGAGGAGTTGGCATCATCTCTTCTCAGGTGTTCGGTCATCTCAGGTCTTTGTAAGGGCTGGATCCAGACTGAAGCTTGTGTAATTCCTAGTTACCACGGGATGTCAATGGCAGAAACAGAGAAACAAATAGAGACATAATTAGCGTAGCTGCTGTTCCAACCAAGCAAAAATGATTTGTTCAACCCAAGCTAAGGAATAATAATGTGCATTTGATCAGATATAACTGCAGTACAAGATTATGAGATGCATTATTTGAATGCTTGGCCAAAGAGATGTGTCTTTAATCTAGATTTAAACAGAGAGAGTGTGCCTGAACCCCGAACGTTATCAGGAAGGCTATTCCAGAGTTTGAGAGCCAAATGCGAAAAAGCTCTACCTCCTTTAGTGGACTTTGCTATCCTAGGTACTACCAAAAGTCCAGAGTTTTGCGACCTTAGGGAGTGTGATGGATTGTGGTAGAAGGTGGTAAAAGGCTAGTTAGGTACACAGGCGCTAAACCATTAAGGCCCTTTTAGGTACTGTAAGTAATAATATTTTGTAACTGATATGGAACTTGATAGGTAGCCAATGCAGAGACTGTAAAATTGGGGTAATATGATCATATTTTCTTTACCTGGTAAGGACTCTAGCCGCTGCATTTTGGACTACCTGTAGCTTGATTATTGAATATGCAGGACAACCAGCTAGCAGTGCATTACAATAGTCCAGTCTAGAGGTCATGAATGCATGAACTAGCTTTCCCATTCAGTCAGTCACGTTCTACGTTACGTCAGTGACTGACGAATTGGGATCTCGCCCGAGGTCCAATAAGTAATATCACTGTCTTATCCGAATTCAATAGGAGAAAATTATTGGTCATCCAATCTTTTACATTTTTAACACACTCTGTTAGCTTAGATAATTTTGAAGTTTCATCTGGTCTCGTTGAGATATTTAGTTGAGTGTCATCATGGTCTGACGCAAGAAGCAAGTCATTAGTAATTTTAACAAGTGCAGTGTCTGTGCTATGGTGGTGCCTGAAACCTGAAATTCTTCATAGAGATAATTTTTTGCAGAAGAAGCACAATTGAGCAGACAAAACTTTTTCTACAATTTTAGACATAAACGGAAGATTTGAAATGGGTCTGTAATTAGCCAATTCATTAGGATCTAGTTGTGGTTTCTTAATAAGAGGCTTAATAATCGCCAGCTTGAATGGTTTTGGGACGTGACCTAAAGATAACGACAAGTTAATAATATTGAGAAGCGGTTCTTCTGCTACAGGTAACAGCTGTTTACTGTACATCGTGTCACAGCAGCTTTTAAGCATTGTTCTGTTTCTTGTTGTAAATCAGAAATGACAAGGAGGCAGCTTCCCGCAATACAAAGTCAATGGAGAGCGTTGGATTGGCCCAACTAACGGCTCGGCTCGCGTTTCCACTGCAGTTTAGTACTGCTTTAGAGTGGGCGGGATTATACGCATCGCCCCATCAAGCTCTCGCTAAATCCACTCCTCGGCTGTCATCGAGAGGAATGTCTGTACTTCCTCAACAGACCACGAAACAGCCATTTTTTGGTTGTTAAAAAAAAACAGTTGCGTTCGTTCAAAAAAGTTGCATTCGATCATTCGCTGGCTGTGCTGATTTAAATCTAGCGGGTCTGGTGTCGCAAGTTCAATGATGCAGGTAGTGATGATTCTCTCCGGCCAATCAGTGATCAGCAGGGTTTACACGTCACATTTTGGTAATGGTACTGAAAAAAGTACCAGGTACTGTACCCAGTGGAAAACCCCCCAAAAGTGAGCCATGCCATATCATGAGTTTCACGATGTAGCGTTGTGGATATATTTGAATGATTGTGTTCCCCACCATCAAACTGATGAAGCTGCTTGATACACTACATGGTCAAAATGACATGCTCATGAACGGGTCAGGGCTTCTTTTCCCAAAAGCATCGTAAGCCTAAGTACATCGTAGACCCATTACCACCAATGAAGCTATGATCAACTTAAGCTTCCAATGATTTTGGAAAACATAGCCCTGGCTGTTTCAGCTATACTAATTTCTCACCAAAGATGCAGCCATGCAATATTACACAAGCTTTTTCCTGTGTCTGAATTGGAGTTCAGTTATGCTATAAAATCTTGATGTGCAGATCCCTATTAATGCTAGTAGTTTGCAAATGAAATGTTCTGCAAGCACACGTGAAGATTGTTTTGTGCTGAACGTATGCTTTAGGTTATGTAGTACTGAGTAACAAAACTTGGAAATAAAGATGCAGCCATGCAATATTACACAAGCTTTTTCCTGTGTCTGAATTGGAGTTCAGTTATGCTATAAAATCTTGATGTGCAGATCCCTATTAATGCTAGTAGTTTGCAAATGAAATGTTCTGCAAGCACACGTGAAGATTGTTTTGTGCTGCACGTATGCTTTAGGTTATGTAGTACTGAGTAACAAAACTTGGAAATAAATTGATTGCAGTTGCTGTGCTGAGTTTTTTTTAGCAGTCAGGCTCCTGGATGAACTCACAGGTTTCTCTTCTGAGTCTAACTTGGTCGTTGCTCCTTAGCATCTGAAGGCAGGTCCTCTAAAAGACCCTCTACTGGACGATCATGCCGACTTTAACAGAATGTGTGTGGCCATGAAGAAGATCGGTCTGGATGACACGGAGAAGCTCAACATGTTCAGGGTGGTGGCTGGGGTGTTGCACCTCGGAAACATTGATTTCGAGGAGGCTGGAAGCACCTCAGGTAAACGGAGAGCTTCAGTTACTAAACACACACTGATTTGGTGCTAACAATTAAAATACTCTTGCCAACAACTTGTGTGATTATTCATTTAAAGATGATGACAGTGAAAATAATCCAGCCTATCTACAAACTTGGAGGATTTATACATTTATATCCAACTGTTTAGTTTGGAGAAAAATTGGTTAGTTACCAGTTAGACAAAATATGCTGATGTGAGTATATTAAAAAATGTTGACATTATATTTTACATAGAGGCACAAGCTAGACGTGGATTAGTGATATCTAAAACAAAAAAATATAATGTTTGTTCATTGAAATAAAAAGAAATAAAAGATGAAAGATGAAAACCTTGAGCTTAAAAAATGTAAACTGAAAGGCAACATTTCTAATTTACATTTAAGTTCAAACTAAAGCTAAATATTAATTTAAAAAAGCACATAACATTACAACTAAAAGTGAAATCTGAAAATGTAAAATGAATAGCTTATTGACCATATTGATAATATGTACTATAGTAGTATATAAATGACACATTATTATAAAATAACACTGGTGTTACCAAATGTTTCCACAGAGATAGTAAAACCTTTAAGAGGACATCTCAACTGTTCACACAACAACGGTTTAATAAAGGGACTAAATAATACATTGCCTATTTTTTATAATACAAATACATTTCTTTAAGGGTTTGATTTATTGAACCTGTGTAACATTACTATGTAAATATAAAACTACAAATCAATGAGTCGCTATCATGATAGAAATGAAATTCGTCTGAGAATGGTTTTAGAAAGCAATTAACATATGCTTTTACATATAGGCTTAAACAATAATAAAGCCATTATTCAGCGCCGAGCGTAAATCGCATAACATTTCCCTTTCCATAAGCATAAGTCCACATGAGCCGTTAGCTTAGTTATATACCACATGTTGATGAAAATGAAGAAGAAAAATAACATGGAAATGTTCATATTTACTGACTGGTGTTCATGTGTGTGTGTGTTTCAGGTGGCTGTGTCTTGAAGAAGACGTGCAGTCAGCCGTTAGAGTTCTGTGCGGAGCTGTTGGGTCTGGATGAGGAAGATCTGAGGGTCAGTCTGACCACCAGAGTCATGCACACCACTGCAGGGGGCGCTAAAGGCACAGCCATCAAGTAAGAGCCGCTCATGCCTTCTGAAGAGCAGCTGAACTGAGAGGCCAGTGGATAGCCATTCAGCTTGTTGTCTTCTGTAGGGTTCCTCTGAAGGTGGAGCAGGCCAGCAGTGCTCGTGATGCTCTGGCTAAAGCCATCTACAGCCGTCTCTTCGATCACGTGGTCACCAGGATCAACCAGTGCTTCCCCTTCGACTCGTCTGCTCACTTCATCGGTGTGCTGGACATCGCTGGCTTTGGTACGAGACCGTCTATGCTCATGAATACACTTTCCCACACACTTTTTTGAGCCGTAAATGTCATGTAACTGGTCATTCAACCAACCGAACCCTGACTCCTGCTTATACCAAACTCTCGTTTTTGTCTTCCTTTTCCTCAGAGTATTTCGAGCACAACAGTTTTGAGCAGTTCTGCATTAACTACTGTAATGAGAAACTCCAGCAGTTCTTCAATGAGCGCATTCTCAAAGAAGTGAGTCTTTCAGCTGACGTGTGTGTGTGTGTGTGTGTGTGTGTAAATCAGCTCATTTACTGCAGCTTCAGATGCAGCTCATCAGTCAGAATTTACTGCCCTTTTCAGATGTCTTTGCCATCTTACAGTCTTTGCCATTACTACAGTAAACACATTATATTACAAAAGATTTCTATTTCAAATAAGTGCCGTTCTTTTCAACTTTCTATTGAGCAAAGAATCCTGGAAAAACGTACGTGTTTCCACAAAATATGAAGCAACACAACTGTTGTTGTTTTTTTTGGTAACACTTTACAATAAGGTGCATTAGTTAACTACATTAGTTAACATGAACTAATAATGAACTGCACTTATACAGCGTTTATTAATCTTTGTTAATGTTAATTTCAACATTTACTAATACATTATTAAAATCTTGTTAACATTAGTTAATGCACTGTGAACTAACATGAACTAACAATGAACATCTGTATTTTTATTACCTAACGTGAGCGTAGATTAGTAAATACAGTAACAAATATATTGCTCATGGTTAGTTCATGTTAGTTAATACATTAACTAATGTTTAACTAATGAACCTTATTGTAAAGTGTTACTTTTTTTTTTTATAATAATGATAATAATAATTGGATTTTTTTCCTTAAGCATATTCAGGTGCAGTATTTTCAAAATGTGTATATCAACTCATTTATCAACATACAGTAGAAATCAACAGTTCACTTATATTGTTCATCAAATTAAACAACATAAAAAACACCATGAAATAGATAATACAGAATCAAATTCAACACATATACAGTATAGCCACTTATGGAAGCCAGTTTACACCAATTAATTACTTTTTTTTCTCGCAGTTGTGAGATTATATCAACAATCGCTTGTTATAAAGTTAGAATTGCATGATATAAAGTTGCAGTTACCTTATTCATTTGTTTTAGTGGTGGAAACAGGCATATAGCTATTTAGTAAAGCAAAAAAAAAACTTTCTATGAAATTATTAATTCTTTCATTCATCGTGTCATTTTTTACACAATATTACATGTATTTTTGTATTGTGGCAAATTCACTTAAAGTTAACTGCGTTTTTCTGTAAGTCAAATTTTTTTTCAAGGACAAGTTCATCTAAACCAGATGTTTTGGTGCTGAAATAATAATAATAAAAAAAAGCTAAGTGTCTTTGTTAGGCTGTTGAATTGGCCATTGTAAGGCATGAACCCGACTGATATTATGTCTGTTGTTTGTGTCTGGTTAACAGGAGCAGGAATTGTATCAAAGAGAAGGTCTGGGGGTCAATGAGGTCCATTACGTTGATAATCAGGACTGTATAGGTCTGTTTCTCATTAAACATGACTACACTACACTGATTTGATTGGGCATATAGGGTGCAAAAATGATATCTGCACCCTTCTATACACCGAAATAAATCAGAATGCAGAAACTTCTGGCAGCTTGATGATTGAATGAATCTGCCTTTGCATCTTCTCCTGTTCAGACTTGGTGGAGGCGAAGTTAGTTGGCGTCTTGGATATCTTGGATGAAGAGAACCGGCTACCTCAACCCAGCGACCAGCACTTCACTGAAACCGTCCACGGCAAACACAAGGACCATTTCCGCCTGACTGTGAGCCACGCTTTACTCTAAATCTCATTTCAGCGGCTCACTCTAGTTAAGTGGCTTCATTCTTCAAATCTTTCACCGTCCCGCAGGTTCCCAGAAAGTCCAAGCTGACAGTGCACAGGAACGTCAGAGACGACGAGGGCTTCATCATAAGACACTTTGCTGGAGCAGTCTGCTATGAAACGGTACACCAACACTGCATTTAGGGAGAAAACAAGGCGTTTTCAGATCTTCAGTATTTGTTTTGTTTGATTAATTCAATGGAAACATTCTAAATTACCCTAAAAGAGTCACAAATTGGGCGTCAGTACTTCTGCTTCAGTTCAAAATACATTAATCTCCCTCGCCAGATGAGGATTTATCAATGCTCTCTCAATTTTTGCTGATTTCTAAATTAAAATAGCTTGTTAAATAGACTACCTCCAAGAGATCTATGTCGCCTAATGGTTTGACCAGCATTTAATTAAACATTAAACTGATCAAAAGTGACAGTAAAACATTTTTAATAATGCAAAAGATTTCTATTTCAAATAAATGCTATTTTGAACTTTCTATTAAACAAAGAATCCTGAAAAAAAAGTATCATAGTTTCCTCAAAAAATAACTTTTTTTTTTCCCCCTTCAAAATGTGTTTATCAACTCGACTCATTAACTGCTTTATCCCCAAAGTATTTGGCTGCAAACAAAACCTTTTTGGAGAAAAAGCTGTTTGTCAGAAATTGATCACTTTGATTCTGTTGCCTAAAGTTGATTATGGAAGTCCGTTTTCGCCTTTGAATAAAAAATAAAAAAGGTAATTGTGACTTTTTATCTCACAATTCTTTTTTTTTTTCTCAGAATTGCGTGATATAAACTTGCAATTGCGAGTTAAAAAGTCATAATTGTGAGAAATTAACTCGCAATTCTGAGAAATAAAGTCAGAATTGTGAGAAAAAGTCAGAATTGCCACAAATTTGACCTTATATCTCGCAATTTCGACTTTATAACTCAATATAACGCAATATTTTTATTCAGTGGTGGAAACAAGTCCTTTTAACTTATTAAGTTGCTGTTTTTCTCTCAAATCTTTTTATTTTTTATTTTTTAACCAGGAATGATATAGGTGCCTATTTCAGTCAGTGCAGTTTTAGTTTTTTGTTGACAATGCTCAAGAATCAAAAAGTGGCAGATATACTGAGCTCATATAAATTTGATTTTAAATGTAAAAAATATCTCCCATTGTGGCATCTATTCCAGATGCAGCTTCTGTGCCTCCATAAGAGTGTAAAGAAGGCTTTAAAATATTTTTGATATAAATAACGGTCATATTCTGTTGATTTCTCAATTTCTGCTTTATCTTTGAATACTAAAACTAAATTAAATTAAATAAAAATGGATGCATGAAACAAAAAAACGACATTGTAACCAACAAGTCCATTGCTGAAGATAGATAACTAAATAAAACTAAACGGAAATATATAAAAAAAGAAGAAAGCTATAATAACCCTTTCCATAATGAAACAGGTGATTGAAAACCATAATGGCAAACAAATTGTGTAGCGTCCATTGACATGGCTGTTGGTATATTTTGGATCTGACACAAGGAGGCGTTAACGGTTCAGTTAATAATCTCAACATGCCAAACTATCATCCGGGCCAGTGAGTCAATTAGCAGCCTGTGGAGTGAACCGAGTCTGATTGCTGCATTTTGAACCAAACCTTAAATTCATCTGCTTTCTAGAGAAGGAATTTAAAGTTTAGTTTTATGTGATGTGGACATTTTCCCCACTCTTTTTCAGACTCGGTTTGTGGAGAAGAATAACGATGCTCTTCACACTTCCTTGGCGAGTCTGGTGAGCGAGTCGAAGGACAAATTCATCGGAGAGCTCTTCGAGAACTCCAACCACTCCAAAGACACCAAGCAGAAGGCCGGCAAACTGAGCTTCATCAGTGTAGGCAACAAATTCAAGGTCAGTCTCAAAATCACTTAGTCTGACAGCTGTTCGAGGGGGGAAATAAGCAGGCTTCCTGCGGTTTCTTAAAAAGTATTAAAAACACATCTAACATAGGCCTTCATTCCCATTTAAGAAGTGTTGGGGACGGAAAAACAGGAATTGTGATACAGCCTAATGTGACTAATAAACTTCAGAAGACTGTTATTTGATTAAAGGAACAAGTGCACTGCACATTCAAAGTCAAAACGTGGCGCTGTTGCACAATTTTTGCGCTTTCGGAGCAGTTCACAATCAATGAGTAGCTACTGCTGTGTATAATCAATTGCTTGTGATCTACTATTGATGAATTATGACAGTGTTTGCTTTATGGTGTTTATGATGTAGATGGAAGTGTGCATATTCTATTTTGATTACATATTATCTGGCAATTAATTCGGCATAAACTCTTCTCTCTGGGCTGTCCTGTCAGAGCAGAAAAACTAAGATCATTATTTAGCACATTCAATACAGAGAATTGACAAGTATCACCACAATAATCTCTTGCATGCATTTCTTTAAAAACAATATTATTGTATCAGTACAATCCAATATTGATAGGCCTATACTAGATATATTAGTACAGAAAACAGTTTCAATTCATATTGAATAAAACATGTCTTGAGTATTTGGAACTTGCAGTCTCCCCGTTTGTTTGCAGCCTGTTTAATAAAGGAAAAGATTCATGATTCATCTTAAGATTGTATGGAATTGTACTGTATTAATGTGCCCCTATTGTGGGTAATGAAAGGTTAATATTTTGGTTTTGGGAGTCCCCAACAAGCTCAAAAAACACTTTCATTGTCTTATAATATGCATTTATTTTTACCTTACTTGCTCAACGACTCCCAAACGATTCGCTCAACGATTCATTTTTCCAAACCCCTCCTTTGCGTGACGCTAATCTGTGGTGATTGGTCCCATTGGTCTCATTTTAAAGGGGTCATATGATGCGATTTCAATTTTTCCTTTCTCTTTGGAGTGTTACAAGCTCTTGGTGCATAAAGAAGATCTGTAAAGTTCCAAAGACTAAAGCCTCAAATCCAAAGAGATATTCTTTATAAAAGTTAAGAGTCAGTCACGTTTACCTAAAATGCCTCATTCTAACACGCCCCCACATATCTACCTCACTATAACGCTATTTTACCGCTCCAAAAGCAGCACCTAGTGGCAAAGAATGAATTTGCATTTTCATTCAGACCAATGTGAAAAGAACAACAAGTGGGCGGGCAATATGCTAATGTTTCATGTTTCACGTCAACATGAAACGGCTTGAGATTCATTTTAAAAACGACTCATTTCAATGATTCAGAGTCGACTCTTTCTTTTGAGAGACAATAACTTTATATGTGAAGTCGTGGCCTAATGGTTAGAGAGTTGGACTCGTAACCCAAAGGTTGTGGGTTAGAGTCTCGTACCGGCAGGGATTGTAGGTGGGGGGAGTGAATGTACAGCGCTCTCTCCCACCTTCAATACCACGACTGAGCTGCCCTTGAGCAAGGTACCGAACCCCCGACTGCTCCCCGGGCGCTGCAGCAAAAAAATGGTTGCCCACTGCTCCGGGTGTGTGTTCACGGTGTGTGTGTGTGTTCACTGCTGTGTGTGTGCACTTTGGATGGGATAAATGCTGAGCACTAATTCCGAGTATGGGTCACCATACTTGGCCACATGTCACCTCACTTTCACTTTCACTGTGCACTTTCAGATTTAAAACTTTGCAGGATGTTTTCATTCACTTAAAGCTGTTACACACTGCATGAAAGCTAATTTTCAAAAATCCATAATAGGGGCACTTTAATGTTATTTGGATAGGCATAAAAAGTTTTACGTTTGATACCCAGGTGTTGTTGTTTATTTTTTCATATTTTTCTCTCACAGACTCAACTGAATATTCTTCTGGAAAAGCTGCACAGTACTGTGAGTCATCAAATGCTAAATGTTACCACATACCTTAGCTGAAAGCAATGACATGTTTGTGGGTTACAGCAGGTCATGTGTGTTTCAGGGTTCAAGTTTTGTCCGCTGTGTGAAGCCCAATCTGAAGATGGTCAGCCATCATTTTGAGGGCGCTCAGATTCTGTCTCAACTACAGTGCTCAGGTTAACACACTCACACACTCACACACACACATCACGTTACACAGAGCTGCCAGTGTCATCACATTGTTTCCTACAGGATTTTGATTGATGTATCCTGAGGTGTGGTGTGAAAATCCAGCTAAAACCATTTTAAATAGCATTTCAATAGCTATTTATTATGAGTGAAGCGTTTATGACCTCATATTAATTGATAGGCTACATTAAAGTTTTTAATGTGACATTTATTATGTTATGGTGAGGGAGGGAAGCTCATGGACACACGATGCATCAACTACACAGTCTTCTACATGCCTTTGGTCATCTGATTGCTAGCTTATACTTTTAGTAAAATTGTAAAAACCCTTTCACGTTGTGGTTCACGTGTCTTTTTGCTGAGAAATCTGTACTGATTTTGATACATAAATAAAAAATGACATTGCTAGTAATATTTCAAAATGAAGCAACTTAGGTTTACTTGATTATCCATGCATTTATTTGATCAGTTTTGAGGAATGTTTATTTATTCATCTCTTGGTGATCATTGTATTGCACTGCATTATATGCTTTTGATCCTAAAACTAAGCATTTAAATATCATCTTACTTAGACATAAATATTGGGAGATATGGAGTGACAACTGATATTTATATGCATTTTATGTAAGTAGCCTGTTACAGCAGACTGACATATTATGATACTGTTATGAAGATCTCATTCATTTACAAGCTGTCAGAATTTCATCTTACTTTTTGTCCATATAATTATTAGCATCTTCACCAAATTTCTCAGTTTATACTCAGTTTGGGTACCTGATGTATCTCAACATACATGTTTGTGTGTATTCATCAAAGGAAAAAAAATCACCGTTTCTGCAAAAAATATTAAGCAGCACAAATGTTTTCAACATTGATAATAATAACGAAAAGTTTTCAGAACTGCAAATCAACATATTAGAATGATTTCGAATGACAAGGATCATGTGACACTGAATACTGGAGTAAATTTAGCTTTTCCATCATATTAGAAAATCTATTTAAATTGTCATTTTAAACTGAGTGATATTTTACATAATTACAGTTTTTACTGTATTCAGTCGAGTCAAATAAATGCAGCCCTTGATGAGTAAAAGCAAAACATTTGAACAATAGTGAAACTGAAATTAATTTCTGTGGTAAGCATCAATACGTCACAGATGCTGCGTGTAAAACTGTTGAATGCTCAGGAATACTCGAGCAGGAGTGAAAAGCATTATTGTGTGTGTGTGTGTGTGTGTGTGTGTGTGTGTGTGTTAGGATCGATGGGCTGGTGAAGGCACGTAACCTGAAGAAGAGGATGGAGAAGCTGAATGAGGTGGTGTCTGGACTAAAGGAGGGAAAACAGGAGATGAGCAAACACATGCAGGAACTCGATTCCTCTATCAACGCCCACATACTCAAGATAAAGGTGTGTATGAGAGAGAAAGAACACGTCCAGCGCATATTCCTGAAAACCCCTGTTCCTCATTTAACCTACAAGAGCTGTAGATGAAGAACCATGTCCTGTGTGTATCTCCTCTCTCTAGAGCACTGTAATGAGCCGCATAGACATCGACCATGAGCACCAGGCTCTGGTCACTCGCTCGCAGGAGCTACTCAGCGCCATGCAGAAGAAGAAGCAGGAGGAGGAGGAGATGGAGCGTCTGAGACGCATCCAAGAGGAAATGGAAAGAGAGAGGAATAGACGTGAGGAAGAGGAGCAGAAGCGCAAACAAGAGGAAGAGGACAGACGCCTGTGAGTATACATCCGGATTAACAAATGACAGAAATCATGTCGTTCCTAACCCAGATTACTGAAACAGAAAAGGTGGAATTTTTGTTAACCGTATACCAGCCAGTATTTCCTGTATAATAAAAGTGGATGAGGACCATAAAGCACCATCAAACTATTCTTAAAGTATATATGACTCTTACAATAGCCAATGTTAAATCACTGAAAATCTATCCGCTGTAGCTCTCCGATCAAATGTTTGTGCCAATGCTGATTAAATGAACGGAAACTGTTTTTACTTCTGTACCTTTAAGACTTCTAGATGCAAAGGACCTGTTATAATTGGCTAATGGGGGGGGGCAGAATTTAATTAAAGTTAGCATGTAATTAACATTCACCTGACTTTCTAAATGCATATTTTAGATAATTTTGTGAATATTAAAAATGCATATAATAGATCTTATTATTCATATAGACTCGTTTGAACTCCGTTCTCCAGTAAAATGTCAAGCTTCTCTTTGGTGACACATGCCAGACTCCTTCAATCATTTAGTCTGCCTAATCTCTAAGATTGTTCTTTTCTGATAACCAGGGCTTAAAGTTCTCCGGCACCCAGCTGTTGTTGTGCCGAATTCTGCACCCCTGCCAGATTCTGCATCCCCTCGTTGAAAACAATTTTATTGTGATAATTTTTTTGGCCATATCACTCAGCCCTAGTGCAGGTCTTAAAGTTCTCCGGCACTGTGCCGGATCTCCGCCATGCGGCGTTTGGCTGCAGGAAAAAAAGATAGTCATCCTACATTTAAAAACTCCTTTATTTAAAAACATTTGTTGATATCATGTTCAAGTTCATGAGTTCGCCTGCCAATGTATGAGAGGAACACAGCTTTCACTCTCAACCAAACTAACATTACTAGCCAATCAAAAGTTTTTGCTCTTATAAACACGAGACACACATTAGTATCCAATTGCAGAGTCGCAGCTGATGAATGGAAAAGAAGCCTGGGTCTCGAGCGCAACACATTGAAAAAGCTGCGAGGCGCAATGGTCAGAAATTTTATATTTACATAGAAAAGCTATTAAAAAAGCAGCGGAGCTTTGTGAACAGCTCTGAGTAATCATGCGCCCCCGCAACCCCCAACCCCCGGAAAAAAGTTCAGTCTCAGGATTTTTTTTTTGCTTTAACCCCTGGTCACTAATTCTGACGTTATTGTCTCCAGCTCTGCTGAAGCTTCTATGTGTGTCTGTTTGTTTTAGGAAAGCCGGGATGGAGTTGAAGAGGAAGCAGGAAGAAGAAGAGCGCAAGAAAAGAGAGGAGGAGGAGAGGAGACTGCAGGTGACCTCAGCTTTATACGTCACATTATTTCTTCTGCATTTTCTCTTCATGTTCATCCCTTAGCAGGATCTCAAATGAACCTTTAGTCACACCTGCCGATAGGTGGGAATTTCCTGGCCAGGAATGTTTCTTAACAGCTGTTTTTGCACCTGTGAGAAGAAGATAGACGTTGTTTCCTTACATACTGTATGGACCTTTTTGCAGGTTTCTCAGCAGCGGAAGTCGTCATAGTTGGGTTAACTTCGAGAGCAGTGAGTGGGAGAGTACCACAAATATATTTTTTGCATTCCCATTTGCTCAAATAGCAAAAGAAAAACTCCACAATAGTGTTTCCACAACTTTCAAAAATGTCAAATTTACCATCCCTCCCATAGACGCTGCTTTAGAAACACCCTCGCATTAGCGTTAACTGTTTTTTTTGTAATTTGATGTAAAGGTGATATAATACAAAGTATAGTTTTATAAAGTTTACATAATTTGTTTACGATGGATTTACGATGCTGATGACCGTTAAACACAGTCTTGTGAAAAGGGTCAATTATAACAGCTGTTTGAAAACATAAGTGCTGCTTGCGTTTTTTTGTGCCGAACACTTGTGTTGGTAGCAGCTGATTGGTTGATATGTGACGAGTGTCTCTGCTGGTGTGTTTTAGGAGGAGATGGAGCTGCAGCTGCAGGCGGAGAGGGAGCAGGAGACGGCCCGACAGCCCGTGCTGGAGCAAGAGCGGCGAGACCGAGAGCTGGCCCTGCGGATCGCTCGGAGCGAGGCTGAGCTCATCCCAGAGGAGACGCCCGTGGAAGCCGGACTGCGCAGGTATTTGTGTCCCTCTGAACTCCGCTGCCAGCTGCCAAGCAAATGGCATACCTTCAGGCTGATGATACACAACCTTTTAATATAATAATGATATATATGATATATGATAACGCAGTGCTGCTTGGGCACTTTCCCACTGAGAATGGGTAACAAATTTCTATCTGGATACATTAGATCGGTCGTGGGCCCTGTGTCTCACCTGGTTTCCCATAACTAAAGTTGCCCGGCAACATTGCTTGAAAAGTTGCCCCGTGTATCATCAGCCTCAGATGTTTACCCAGCACACCCTACAGCTAAACATGCCCCATAGAGCAATCTTACATCATAATGACTCCAGTGGGCTGAGGGAAAAAAAAGGCATTGTACAAATTAGAGCTGTCAAAATGGCAAAAAAAAAAACTACATTTGAATTTTGCACTTAAATATTAGCAATATTCGAATTATAATCGAATTTAAAAGGCATAATTACAGTTGGGGGAAAAAGCTTTTGGCTTCTCTCCTGAGGCCACTAGGGGGCGCATCAAGCAAAATATTACTAATGCACGTTTATTAAAGCTAGGGTTGCACGATAAATCGCATGTGATGATCATGCGCATCTCGTCAGTAAAGCCGGTTCTGTGAAGCAGCATTTAATACACAGAGCCGTAGATCACGGACAAGCTACGCAATATTGCATTCATAATTGAAGGCAATTCATCTGTTCTGCGATAATGAACATGATATTGTGTAGCTTGTCAGTGTATTAAATGCCGCTTCATCTGAAAGCACGTGATGGAGATTTACTACTAATCACAGAACCGGCTTTACTGATGAGATGCGCATCATCATCGCATGCGATTTATCGTGCAGCCCTAATTAAAGCAATAAAATAACACGACTATTTTTGAAAAAAGCGCGTAATGTTTAAAATAATGTTTATAAACCAAATATAATTAAGTTGTTTAAACAATTAGAAACAAAAAGGCACCTTGTACATATGTGTAGTTTAATACAAAGGACCGAAAACCAATAATAAAGAGTACTTTTTATATAAAAAAATATGAAATGCAGTGGGATGGGGGAAAAAACGCCATTAAGTTTTGAGACATGTTTGTAAAAGTTGAACTTTTACATAGCTTTCTAAACATGCGACTTTCTTGTGCGAGACACGAGTGCAACAGTGATAGATGTCCCTCTAGAAAATGCGATAAATGTGTTCTGTGTGAATGGCTTGGTTTCAGTTTTGATGTAAACAACATCTTCTCCGCATTTGATGTTCTGTTTTCCTACAGTATTTTGAATGAACAACCAGCATCGCTGAACTGGAAAGGCTAACAAAACATTCAAATGCAATGACACTTACATTGTCATCGCATCATGTGTGCCATTGATAAGGCTGCCTGACGCACACCTAAAATTCGAATGTGGCTTTTTATTTTAAATTCGACAAATATTCGAAATTCGAATTTTTTATTTGACAGCCCTAGTACAAATGAATTGCAATACATGTACCATTGCACATGCATTTATATGTTAGAGTGTTTCTTGTCATGCAAACACAGTCAATCATACAGCTGCAGGTTAAAGGAATGTGCTCAATGCACAGGGGTTCAATGCAAGTTTAACTTAAAACCACAGTGCAGTGGATGTATACAGTGCAACCAGATAACAAGTTTTGCTCAAATAATAAAAATCTTTACTAAAGAATTACTGTAAATTGATCAAAAGTTACCATAAAGACAATTATGTTTCAAAAGATTTGCATTTCAAATAAATGAATTTCAATTTCAAATAATTCATCAAAGAAAATGTATTAAAATATTGAGCGTAGTTTTCAAAAAAAAATGTATAGCACATTATTTATTTGGTAACCCTTTTACAATAAGGTGTCATTTGTTAACATTAGTTAATGTATTAACTAACATGAATGAATAATGAACAATACATTTATTACTGTATTTATACAGTGTTAATGTTACTTAATAAAAATACAGTCGTTCATTGTTTGTTCATGTTAGTTCACAGCGCATTAACTAATATTAACAAATACAACTTTTGATTTTAATAATGCATTAGTAAATGCTAAAATTAACATTAACTAAGATGAACAAATGCTATAGAAGTGTTGTTCATTCTTAGTTAATATTAACTAATGTTGTTAACTAATGAACCTTATTGTAAAGTGTTACCATTTATTTTTATAGCATAATAAGCTTGAATATATCAAAGGTCAAGCATAATTTGATTTCTCATGCTTTGACCCCTTTCCTTTGTCTTGAACCTGGAACATTTTTAGAAAGCGTTAATGGTGGTGGGATTTTGTTTAATTACCGGCGGAGACTTTGATTAGTTTCTCCGTCACTCTATTTAATGCTCTTCCTGTCTGTTTTTACAGTGTTGCACCACCACCACAAAAACTCAAGAGCTTGACCATGTAGGTTACGTTTTTTACTGTCTCCTATTTAAATCTTTATTCTTTGCTGAGCATTTCTAGTTTAGTTTAAAAGCAGCTTTTTGTCAACTTTTTCCAATAAGCACCATGGGTGCAGCTTATGTCGAGTGTTTAAAATCATAGGTTGAAATCAGAGCCATTGCAGTCTCAGCAGACGATCACCAGAATCATGACATTCAGGCATATTTATGTCAAAACAGTAGCTATGTGGCAGTTTATATTGGATCCTGTTTAGTCAAATGCACAAATGGAAAATCCTATGAGCAGTTTACTAATGACGTCATATGCTAACATGTACCATGGTCCAATAATCATGTCCTTTAGGGAGGAAATGGCCAAGGAAATGTCTGATCTTCTGGCTCGGTGGGTAGAAGGGTTTGTTGTTGGCACTACAGATATACACAACCAAAAATCAAAACATTATCCACTGAAAGGAAGACAAAATGACCTTGTTGAAGTCTGAAACTGCATCAAATTTGAATCATTCTGATCATACTCATAGTCCAATCACAATATTTCAGTAATTTCACACAATATTTTGTAAATCAAAATGAATCCAGAGTTACTTGTTCTTTTATTATTACCTCTGTCTGTGAATTAATGTTCCTTCCTTGTAATTTATTAAATGCTGATTTGTCCTTTTTTTCTTTCTCTGAAATTGATTTCCTGTTATTGCTGTTGTGTAACCCTTTCTTTTCTTCGACGGATCTCTGATGCAATCTGTGTTTCGCAATTAAATTGAGACATTTTTGTAGCAATATTTAAATAATATTGTTTATTAGCATGTGCTTGATTTAGGTTTAAAAATGAAGGGGTTTTGTAAATTTGATTAATTGTATGTAGGGTAAATGTGTTTTTACATTTTAATTGGTACGTTGAGATCCTTGTTGTTTTTGTACCCGGCAGCTTCTCAAATGAGCAAGAGTCCAAAAAGAGTCAGATCAGTAGGAAATTGTATCTGTTGTGTAACTGTATATGTTTGTGTTTTCTGTGGATTCAGAGGTCCACAGGTGACTGCCACAAATGCTCAAGCTGATGTGAAGAAATATGAACTCAGCAAGTGGAAATATGCTGAATTACGGGACGCCATCAATACATCCTGTGGTAAGAAAGTTGTTTTCATGACTGCATATGAATATGACATAGATTTGTGTTTTATGTTTGTTTGCTTTTTTACTTATGTTTATGACAGTATACAGCAGTCCAAGTGTCCAAACCACACATTTGCATTTTTATCCAATTTAACACAGATATTTGCTTTAACATCCTGTGGTAAGAAAGTTGTTTTCATGACTGCATATGAATATGACATAGATTTGTGTTTTATGTTTGTTTGCTTTTTTACTTATGTTTATGACAGTATACAGCAGTCCAAGAGTCCAAACCACACATTTGCATTTTTATCCAATTTAACACAGATATTTGCTTTACAAATTATATTTTCAGCATAACAAATCTCACTTTTGCACTCAAGCTTGCACAGACAAATCCTGATGATCATGTGATCCGTTACTTGAAGTTTCAAACAATGTCTTGTGTGCTTCAGCGTAAGAAAGACAGTCACAAACCCCATGTCACAAATTTGCTTTGCATTCTTAAAATCTGAAAGTTCCATTTTAGATTTTAGCTTTTGTTTTAAATGTTACAAATTATTAAAACTTTTTTTGCTTATGAACCAGAAACATAGCATATAATCCGCTTGTCTTTTGCTACTTACACATTATCTGCTTGAAATGAACGTAATTCTGTATCGATGGGTAAAAATGTGAATGTCTGTTTTGTTTCAGTTTCCAACTTTGCACTCAAGCTTGCACAGACAAATCCTGATGATCATGTGATCCGTTACTTGAAGTTTCAAACAATGTCTTGTGTGCTTCAGCGTAAGAAAGACAGTCACAAACCCCATGTCACAAATTTGCTTTGCATTCTTAAAATCTGAAAGTTCCATTTTAGATTTTAGCTTTTGTTTTAAATGTTACAAATTATTAAAACTTTTTTTGATTTCCACATAATTTTTTATGCTTATGAACCAGAAACATAGCATATAATCCGCTTGTCTTTTGCTACTTACACATTATCTGCTTGAAATGAACGTAATTCTGTATCGATGGGTAAAAATGTGAATGTCTGTTTTGTTTCAGTTTCCAACTTTCTTTTTACAATATCCATCTAGATATCGAGTTGTTATCTGCGTGTCGTGAGGAGTTTCACCGCAGACTGAAGGTCTATCACGCGTGGAAGTCAAAGAACAAGAAACGCAACACTCAGGATGAGCAGAGAGCACCAAAAGCCATCACAGACTATGGTAAGAAAAATCCCACTGGAGATCTCCTTTAAAAACTGAGATCAGCCGGATCTAGAGTTAGGAGGAAATGCAAATTGGTTACTGTAGACAGAAATAATTTTTGTGTGGGTTTGTTTTTAATAGTTGACATAATTGGAAGCCAAGGCTTCATAGGTGAGTAAGGCCAAAAAATAAACCAACAGCTGACTAACTCCCCAAAACATAACTAAAGGACCTAATGAAATGCAAAGAGAAAAAAATCCAATATTTAGCCTAACTCACTCACTTAACTAAGCTAATAGAAAACAATATTTACAATAAATAAAATATCCCTTTTCCTGCTGCTTTCCTTACTATTATATATATATATATATATATATATATATATATATATATTTAATGCTTTTGAAAGCAGAATCTTATGCTTACCAAAGCTAGATTTACTTCACCACAAATACAGTAAAAACAGTCATATTGTGAAATATTATTGCAATTGAAAATAAATGTTTTCAACGAGGGCTTTTTAGTGCCACGTTAAAAAAATAAAAAATCTTAAGATTACGAGAATAAAGTCGTAATATTTCGAGAATAAAGTCGAAGTATTACCGAGAATAAAGAAAACATTTCGACTTTATTCTCGAAGTATTTCGACTTTATTCTCGTAATATTTCGACTTTATTCTCGAAGAATTTCAACTTTATTCTCGTAATATTTCAACTTTATTCTCGTAATATTCCGACTTTATTCTCGTAATTTCAACTTTATTCTCGTAATTTCAACTTTATGCTCGAAATATTACGACTTTAATTTCATAATCTTAAGATTTTTACATTTTTTTAACGTGGCACTAAAACGCCGTCATAGTTTTCTATGTGAATATCTGTTAAAATGTAATTTATTGCTGTGATCAAAGCTGAATTTTCAGCATCATTACTCCAGTCTTTAGTGTCACATGATCCTTTAGAAATCATTCTAACATGCTGATTTGATAAAAAAAAAAAAACATTTATTATTTTCATCAATGTTGAAAACAGTTGTGCTGCTTAATTTTTGTGGAAATTGTGATACTTTTTTTTTGGTTTCTTTAATAGTTGAATAATATAAGTTTTGCTATGGCTGGTTGGCGCCAAACTTTAGACTCTGTTTCAAACTTTAGATGTTTTTTGTAACACTATTAATGCTATTGTTGTCATCCCATTGTCCTCCTCCAGCCCAGCAGAACCCGGTTGTGCCTGTGGTGCCCCGGCAGCAAGAGATCGTCATGAACAGACAGCAGCGCTTCTTTCGCATTCCCTTCATCCGACCAGGAGACCAATACAAAGACCCTCAGAACAAGAAAGGATGGTGGTATGCACACTTTGATGGGCCTTGGATTGCCAGACAGATGGAGCTGCACCCGGATAAACACCCCATTCTGCTGGTGGCAGGTCTGATTCACTTTCACTGTCATCTTTTTCTCTCATTTGGAGATGTCGGTTCATTGGCGTTACCTCACTTTAATTTCTCACAGCATTACATTTGCTCTTGAGAGAAGCTGTTGGTGTCAGTGAATTGTGTTTCTGATAGAGATACTCAGTACATTGGTAACTGCATCAGTTTTTCCAAAATTGTAAAATAATGAGATCGGTGGAGAGCAGCATCACTCATTACATCACTACTTTTTGGCTGAATTGTTTTACAGTATATGCCAACCTTTACAGTTGAGTGTATTGAGGAAAGTCTTTTAGATCAATCTCAGCATTTTGTATTAACAAATAATTTTATTTAATATAGTAATGTGTAGTTAAATGTAACTGTTCATCAGTTTTAGGTGAATTAAAATAGGCTGTGTTCACACTGCAAGCGTTAGTGCTCTATTACCATTTAATGCTCAGATACGATTTTTTGTTTGGCTGTTCACATTGTCTTTTTTTTAAATATGGGCAATATCAGATTCCAGTGTGAACGAATTATGGTCTTAAACTGACCCGTATGCGCAAAAGATCGATAACAATATGGCATGAAGCACACTCAAGTAAGCATTTGTGCATTCATTTATAAGCTGATGTTTCCCGCAAAAGCCAGTGAATCCAGTGAAGGAGGGCAAAGATGAGGAAAAAGAGTGCAAAGTTTTTAAATATTTACTGTTCGACCCCTTATGTTTAGCTTGTGGAGCTGTCACTGTAATAATTAAGAGTTTAACACCTCAATGTCTTTCCACTGAATACATCCACAACTGTCTGTAATATTCACTGAGTGATCAAAGAACTACCGGTATCGCGGTATGTAAAATCATTGGAGTGACTCCCATCAGCATAGAATTATGACGAATGTCGTTCTTGAATGATATGACCATTCTAACTCCGGTCTCATTGCAAACATCAGACCTGAATCTGATTTAGGACCACGTATGAAAGTATCCCAAATCTGAATCAAAAATATTGTGCTGTTCACACTGTCATAAATATATGAGTCACATAGGAGCAGTATCTGTTTAATGCAGTTACTGTTATTGAAATCCTCATTGTCTTTTGCCAAAAAAAGAAGACTTATTACTAATAAACAATTATGTTACTTGAAAAGAAAAATTCTATATTCATGATATTAAATTATAAAATCAGATTACATTTAACTGTTTTGAACTGTATTAAATTATGAGTATCTTGACAAGCTACAGTTTCAGCAATAGCTTCCGCAACACTGGGGCTTTATTATTCTTTTTTTAGTCCAATTTGCTTACTTAATATAGGGATGCAGTTGAAGTAATTCTGGTATCAGGCTAATGAATTTCCTAATTTAGTGATAGCCGTCATACTAAAAAATGCTCTGATACAAACATCCCAAGAGTTTGCGTTTGTTATTATCACTGTACTGTACTTTATTTTATAAAATAATTTTTTATGAGTTTATTACTTGAATACAGCATGGCTGAAATTGTTGTTGTCGGTAATAAGTACTAACAAGTACTTTTTTCACATTTTATATTTTGTTCACTAGAATCATTAGAATCTAGATTTCATTAGAAGCACATAGAACTTTAGTGTTCCCTTTCAGTCGGTCACTCTCGACATCACATCAGTATTGACCAACGAAATTGTTCTCTCGAAGCGAGATTCCAATCTACTTTGAGTGTAACTAAACAAGCCAATGCACATTGGCATGTGATGATTGCATCCAGCAGCCGCTGATTGCAGCACGAGTATAATTAGGCAGCAGGTCTAACGCATACTCAGCTTTTCGCTTAGGAGACGAGCGATCACATCGTTCTGCTCCTGACTACTCTACAGAGAAGACTGAATGAGTTCAGCGCACTCTTGGAGCTTCTTGGTGCTTCTTGGTGCTGGCGGTATGGCGCTTCAGCAGTGGTGGTTTCCCATGCCGAGTGTGTTGCACACATCAGGCTGCACTGCCCCTTGTTTGTGTTGCAGGCAACCATCTCACCCTGTGCGCTTTAACACGCTAAATAAGCTTTTTTCCCTAAAAGAGCATTCATGGGTGCGTCTTTTTAAAGATAATGTTACGTCTGGCAAACTCGACGTTGCTTCTTTGTAAAGACAACATTGCATCTTTCTAAAGACGACGTTGCATCTTGCTATAGACAACTTATCACCCGTGCATTTCTGGTGGTGTTCATGGATGAGTCATGTTCTCATTGCAGGAAGATGTCCATCTTGGAGTTGCGGACCAGGCTCCATTACCTTAAAAGGGGCGGAGCTGCGTTGCCTCCGCCTCGTTCTAGTTCTCGTCCTGGCGGCAGTCAGGCGAGGACTACTTCAGGCAGTAGCACGGGCGGTCTGGGGGTAACAGTGATGGCAAACCCTCCAGGGAACCAACCCTTGGGGGACCATCACTCCTCTTGCACTCCGCAACCAGTTGAGCTGCTAAAGGAACGTGTTGGGCCCTCTACAAGAAGCGTACCAGCAGTATCCTTAGGCGCTCCTCCCGACAATCGGATGTCAATCGCTGCATCAGCGGGTGAGTCGGAGCTTTTTAGAGAGGAAGATTTGTCTGTGCTGCCACCCTCTGGGACGGAAGCAATGCCTGAATCAGATCCAGAAATTATGGCTATGCTTTCCCGGGCCGCTGAGAGGATAGGGCTAGAGTAGAGACCTCCACACCTCCACTGTGTCCTGAGCCCTCAAGGTTGGACGATTGGTTTCTCGGGGTGGCCCACGCTGGTTCTCAGCGCCCCGCCCCGGTGCCATTCTTCCTGGAGGTGCATGAGGAGCTTACCAGATCTGGGACGGCATTTTCTGCCAGAAACCGACCTGCTAACTCCTACTCCCTAACCACTCTCGATGGTGGTGCAGCTAGGGGGTATACGTAGGCAGGCCACCCCGCCCATCCAGGCCCCCTGTCAAACCTGGCGGTAAGCGGAAGAGCAAGAGGCCCTGGGACAGGCGACCCAAAGAGGGAGGGAACTGCTCTTTGGGAGATAGTGAACGCACCTCTCCCGCAGGAGGGCCGGGTGGAGATTCTTTGTTTCCAAAAATCTCGACAGAACAGCAGTTTTCTCCATCTCTGGGTCCCAACAGGACACAGAGAGTCACGGACGGACAAAAACCCGGAACACACTCTTCCTCCTCTGATGCCAGCAGGCAGCAGCGGGCGGTTCGAGTACGTCATCAAAGGCCCTACTCACACACCCTCTGCCCAATCGTGGAACCAGGTAAGCGTTGCATCGCACACACAGACCCCTCTTCGGACTGCCTACGAGCTGCCCAGGCTGGGTCCCGGGTACCGCAGGATCCGCAGGTACGTGGTGGTTCCATTGGTGCCACTTGTACAGTATCTGGGAGACTGGCTAGCGCTGCCCAGTCCGTCTAGCTGACTCCTTCAGACCATCAAACTCGGCTATGTGATTCAATTTGCCCGGCGTCCCCCCAAGTTCAGGGGCGTCCACTTCAGTGAAGGCAGCCGATGCCCCTGTCTTACGTGTGGAAATCGCAGTCCTACTGGCAAAGGACGTGATAGAGCCAGTCTCTCCAGCCGATATGAAGACCGTAAGGTTTTACAGTAGGTTTTACAGCCCGGCGTTGGGCTATGACAGATCTTGGACCTGTGTGTCTTGAACCGGGCCCTTCACAAGCTACCGTTCATGATGCTCATGCAGAAACGCATCTTCGGATGCATTCGTCCGCGAGATTGGTTTGCAGCGATCGACCTGAGGGATGCGTACATTAATTTTTGTCGATCCTTCTGCGCCACAGACCATTTCTGCAGTTCGCGTTCGAAGAACAAGCATATCAGTACAAAGTCCTGCCCTTCAGGTTGTCCCTGTCCCCCGTGTCTTCACGAAAGTTGCAGAGGCGGCCCTTGTTCCCCTGAGAGAGCAGGGCGTTGGCATTCTAAACTACTTCGACGATTGGCTCATACTATCTCAGTCTCAGGATCAGTTGTGCAAACACAGGGACTTGGTGCTCTTGCACCTCAGCCGGTTGGGCCTTCGGATCAACTGAGAAAAGAGAAAACTCTCCCCGACGCAGAGGATCTCTTTTCTCGGTATGGAGTAGGATTCGGTCAAACAGACAGCACGCCTCACAGAGAAACATGCTTAGTCTATGTTGAACTGCCTGAATATGTTCAAGAGCAGGATGGCGGTCCCACTGAAACAGTTTCAGAGGCTCCTGGGGCATATGGCAGCTGCAGCGGCTGTCACGCTGCTCGGGCTGCTTCATATGAGACTGCTTCAACACTGGCTCCATGGCAGAGTCCCAAGGTGGGCGTGGTAGCGCGGCACTCACCGGGTCCATGTTACACCAGCCTGCCGCCAAACCTTCAACCTTTCTTCAGGCAGGAGTGCCCCTATTACAGGTCTCCAGGCATGCTGTGTGTTACACGGATGCCTCTACCACCGGCTGGGGGGCCACGTACGACAGGCATACAGTGTCGGGTGTATGGACGGGCCCCCAACTGCACTGGCACATCAAATGCCTTGAGTTGTTAACAGTGTGCCTTGCCTTGAACCATCTCCGCACGGACAACACTGCGACCGTTGTGTACATCAACCGACAAGGTGGTCTGCACTCCCGTCACATATCGCAACTCACCCGCCAACCCCTCCTCTGAAGTCAGAAGCATCTGAGATCGCTTCGTGCCGTTCACATTCCGGGCCTGCTCAACCATTTGGCCGACGAGCTGTCATGAGCTGCGCTTCCCGGAGAATGAAGACTCCATCCCCAGACGGTCCAGCTGATCTGGTAGGCTCAGGTAGACCTGTTTGCCTCTCCAGAGACCTCTCACAGCCAGTTGTTTTACTAACTGAACGAGGAAACACTCGGCACGGACGCACTGGCACACAGCTGGCCGTGGGGCCTGTGCAAGTATGCATTTCCCCCTGTTAGCCTTCTCGCACAGACGCGCTGTGTAAGATCAGGGAGGACGAGAAGCCCCGGTCCTGCTTGTGGCTGGCCCAATTGAACCTGGTTCCCAGAACTAATGCTCCTCGTGACAGCCCCTCCTTGCCGGATTCCTCTGATGAAGGATCTACTGAGACTCAGAGATGGGGCATCCTGTGGCACCCGCGTCCAGACCTCTGGTACCCCAAGTGGTAGTAGACACCATCACTTCGGCGTGAGCACCATCTACGAGGCACGCTTACGCCTTGAAGTAGGGCTGTCAAAATGTCTGAAAAGCTAAATTCGAATTTTGTACTTAAATATTATCAAAATTTGAATTATATTAGAATTTAAAACGCATAATTTCAGTTAAGGTGAAGAAAAGCTTTTGGCTTCTCTCCTGAGGCCACAAGAGGGCGCATCATTCAAAGCATAAGATAACATGACTATCTGCGGAAAAAAAGGGCATAATGTTTAAAATAATGTTTATAAACCAATTATAATTAAGTTGCTTAAACAACTATAAACAAAACAGCATCATGTATGTATGCATAGTTTAATACAAAGGGCGGAAAGCCAATCACCCAGAGAACATTTTTCATTGAAAAACATGAGATGCAGTGGGATGGGGAAAAACCCACCATAAAGTCTCGATATATGTTTTTTCAAAGTTAAACTTGCATTAATTTTACATGGCTTTCTAAACATGTGGCTCCTTTGTGCGAGACGCGAGTGCAACAGTAATAGATGCCCGTCTAGTGTAAAATGCGTGAAATATGCGTTCTGTGTGAATGGCTTGGTATCAGTTTTGATGTAAACAACATCTTTTCCGCATTGATGTTCTCTTTTTCCGCTATATTTTAATGAAAATGCAGCAGCGCCGCATCTAGTGGCTTCAACTTGATTGGCTAACAAAAACATTATAATGCAACGACACTTACAACATCATCGCATCTTGTGCGTCGCTGATAAGGCTGCCTCCTTAACGCACACCTATAATTCGATTGCAACGTTTTTGCTTTCGAATGTGGATTTTTATTTTAAATTTGACGAATATTCGAAATTTGAATTGTTTTTTGACAGCCCTACCTTAAAGTGGAACCTGTTCGTCGAATGGTGTTCTTCTCACCGAGAAGATCCCCGGAGATGCCCGATCAGAGTCGTGCTTTTCTTTTCTGCATCAAGTGTTGGAGCAAAAACTGTCTCCCTCTAACCTTAAAGTCTATTGCTGCTATCCACGACCCCATGGAAGGGAAGTCGGTAGGGAAGCATGACCTGGTCATCAGGTTCTTCAAGGGCGATAAGGTTGAATCCTCCCCGTCCCCCCTCTATACCCTCTTGATACCTGTCTCTAGTGCTCAGAGTACTACAGCAGGGCCCATTTGAGCCTTTGCACTCAGTCGAGCTGAAGTTTCGGTCAATGAAAATTCTGCTCCTGCTTGCATTGGACTCCATCAAGAGGGTAGGGGGACCTGCATGCATTTTCAGTCGATGAATCGTGCCTAGAGTTTGGGCTGGCTGACTCCCAGGTAACCCTGAGGCCCCGGCCCCGGCCCGGCTATGTGCCCAAGGTTCTACTACTCCCTTCAGGGATCAGGTAGTGAACCTGCAAGCGCTGCCCCCAGAGGAGGCAGACCCAGCCCTAGTTTTGCTCTGTCCCATCCGAGCCTTGAGATGGTACATGGACCGGACACAAAGCTTCACGAGTATACATAGATAATATTAGCCCGTATATTGCTTCATTTCTAGATTAGTTCCTAATGTGTGACGTCTGTTTTTGTGTTGATAGGTAAGGATGATATGGAGATGTGTGAGCTGAGTCTGGAGGAGACCGGTTTGACTCGGAAGCGTGGTGCTGAGATTCTGCCGCGCCAGTTTGAGGAGATCTGGGAACGCTGTGGAGGAATTCAGTACCTTAAAAACGCCATAGAGAGCAGGCAGGCCCGACCCACGTACGCCACTGCCATGCTGCAGAGCATGCTCAAATAAACACACACATAACAGCTCTAGTTCCATAAGGGAATCTACCAACTCCTACATAACCAGCACTGACTTTCATTTAGTTCTTCTTTTTTTTTTTAGTCTTTTAATATTCTTTTCGGTTTTTAGTCTTTTGACATTATTTTTGATTTGTTCTTTTTAAGTGCTTCTTTTTAGTAGCTGTCTCATTTGTTCTGGATTTATTTGAATATCTGGTGTGTCGAATCATCTCATTGATCGTTAATTGCTGTTCTTGACAGTGTAATTGCCTCTAAACTGCCTCTTAATATAATTTACTTAATGTAATATTTTTGCTATGATATATGATGAACATCAGTAATCCATAAATACTTTACTGGGAATGTTCCTTGAGAGAAATTCAACAGTTTCTTCCTAACGTTTGAATCAATCTCACGTTGAAATAAAGATCCTCTTTGACTTGCAGATGTAAATACTGATATTGTTCAGCACTTTACACTATTCTGAGTTTTGTTATTCACTGTGAGTTTAACTGCTTGCATAAAGTATTTACAAAAGCTACAATACAGTAAATACAATAACTCTGGTAAGTAATGACAACTAAATTATGACTTTGAATGAAAAACGTTTAATAAAAAATAATGATTTTAATAATACGATTTAGTCTTCTTGTGATATTGTTATTGTCCCTAATGTTGTCAATCTACAATGATGTGTGTGTTTTGCAAATGATGCAATATGACACACAAGGCATGGGTTGTAATTGTGATATCAGACCAAATATGTATAAGAGCAATATGCAAATGAGATTTATTTCTATATACAAAAGCAAGATTTGTATGAAACGAAACAAGGTACTGATGTAGGCATGAGATCTCCAGCTAAATAAAGTTGTCTGTTTTCTTCCAACAAGCACAGTTGAGATTTTTATAGATATAAACCAGCACAGTTGGTGTACATAAATACACCAACTGTATTTACAAAAATACATAGTTATGAGAGCCTCATTTCAGGGATTACCTTCTATAACATTTCACAATACAGTAACAATGATAAAAATATATATATTTATTATAGTACAAACAACTATTAAATGTCACTGTGATGAATGTTGTTGACTAAGGATTTAAAATAAATGCAAATAAGTGATGCTATTTACCGTTATTCAGGGCTGTCCAGGGCCATCACTAACATAGCTCTAGATTTAATATTAAACTATACTTAAAGACATTTTGCACAGTGCTTTGGGTAAATCTTACAAAATTGGTTCATATTTTGTAGCAAGTTTTTGTTTATAGCTTTAGTTTTTTCTTTTTAACATTTGTCGCTCTATAGCATTCAAAGAATATTTCCAACAACGTTCTACTTTTCACAAGACAACCACGCTAAAAGACCAACAAAAAAAAATGTATTCGCTATGCGTGTGAAACCATTTATAATTATTATACACCAAAACAAAATTATGTTCCATACTATGAGAATTTTTGAACCGTGTGTATTCATTATGATCGAACAGAAGAATAATTCCCTCATTGTGAGGAAACCCATAATGCTTTCTGCCATGTTTCTTGATGTTCTCATGAGAACGACAGGTTACATAACCATTCAGCTTGGCTCTCCATCTGCTCAGGATGTTTGGCCACTCATTCTACAGCCTTCGGGGGTTGTGGGATCATGGGAAGTCTTTTCAAACGTCTTTTAATGGCTGGATAAACACCATCGGACGTCCCACCTCTGTTAAAAGAGAAACAAGTTGTTTTGCATTGATGCTGTGCAATAGATAAAGGATGTTTGGCTAATAGCTGCATCAATGATTTTGGACTTTTATTTATAATTATATATTCTGAAACCACAGACTGTATAAACGGTTGTGCTTAAAAAAAGTTATCCCATGTGACAAATTTAGTCTATAAAATGTTGTTATGGTTAACCTCAAACATGACATTAAGTGAGACCTGTGGCTGGTTGTGTACACTTAGTCATTATTAAGACAAAAGGGTGATCAATCATACTCGTCAAATTAGACCAATTTATGTAGTTGACTTTAAAAAGTCCAGTCTGGTGAATAGTCTAAGCAATTCTTAGTCTATGCAATTGGCCACTGGTCTAATAGTTAGAGATTCATTCTTACAACCACAACAAAAGTTGATATCATGTGAAATCTGAACTTACCTCAGTGACTGATTATAATGTGTAAATCTTCTGTGATTAACTCGTCAGGCCTGGTACGGTGGTCTGGTCTCTGCCTCTATAAAAAAAGGACAGCACATACAGCAATATGAAGCCTAGGTTTTAAAAGGCAAAGAAAGACATCAATATCACCTGAAGGGAAAGCAAAAAAATGTCATATCCCAAGGACAAATTCACAGGTGTGTGATGCATCAGTTTCTGTAAAAAAAATACATATTAGTATAGGTTTTTTAGGTACAAAACAGGCTTTGTTTTTAGAACATGCTGGAAATGGTATCATATTGGGATTCCTTGAGTAAAGTCTTGTTTTATGGCAAAAGTGGTAACATGTATTTTCTATTCATTCATATAATTACAGGAAATGTACACAAATATATAAATGGCGTTGTACAATATTATTTATTTTTACAACAATATTAGTTGAATTTCAGTGTGGTGATTCAATGGAACGATGCTGCAGAAGTAGAAATGAGTTTACTCCCAGTGTAGACATTTTCAAATTAACTCATTAGTAAAGTGAAAATTTAAAGACCACCTAAAAATGTGTAAAACACTGTTTTGAATGGAAAGTTATACCCATTTAGAAAATTGTGGAGAAGAAACCGTAATGGGGATTTCAATACAGAGCTGCCTTGCAATCCCAAATGAAATGCCTGAACTCTTCAGTTTCGAGTATTTGAGAACAGCTTGTGCCCTAATCAGATACTGTTAAACATGACGATGCATTTTTATAATGACTTGATGCTGGACTCTACTTTTTATTGATAGTTTTCTGGAATAATTTGATCAGAATTTCTGCTTGTGGAGGCTTCAGTTGTTAATCCAGAGCGGCTGGATGGGGGACATCTGACTGTTCAGACAGAGAAAAGAGAATATCCCAAAGATAAAAGGCACAGAATGAGATGTATCTAAAGAGGTAAAAAGTGTTCATAAATGTGTTTAGAACAGAATAGACAGAAGCAAGTAAAGATTTGAGACATTTTATACAAATCAATTTTGTATAAAACTGTTACCATAGTGCCACATTCACTGTAATCCACTGTGAATAGTTATTCTAAGAACGATTATATAAGATGCATGTCTTCAAATTAGCATAATCCATATGCTTTTTTTTCCAGGAATAAACTATTTCTTTTCTTAGTTTGTAAAAACAGACACGATGACATTGGACGTCAATACCGTTACCTTCAAAGTCTACATATAATTATTTTTTACAAACTTGAGTATTGGACCTAGAACATTCCTTTAAAGGGGTCCTATTACGCTTTTTCACTTTTTTAATTTTAGTCAGTGTGTGGTGTGTATGTTTGGGCATAAAAAAGATCTTCAAACTTACAAATCTCAAAGTTCACTCCAAAGGGAGATATTTGGTTTCTAAAAAAAATCCCTTTTCAAGAACTACAACGAACGGCTCGTTTGGACTACAGCGTTTGTTTTCCGGGTTTTGTGATATCACAAAGCGGCTCATTGGAATATCATTAAGCGGTTGTTGACATCCTATCTAAAACTTGATTTAGCCCAAAAAACCTAAAACAACAATAACGTTACCACTCTAATATGTCTTGCAGTATCCGTGCGTGCAAAGGTTCTGCGTGATCCTCTTGTTCAATATTCTCGGGGTCTGAATCTGGCTCAGATTGATATGGCAATATTGACGCCATCCTTAACTAAACCGGAGCAGACGGAACTTGCTGCTTTGGCAAGGGGCGGGGCAGTACTGAAACACCGTCTAAGCTGTTCGCCAATCACGACGCACTGGGACAGCTAACCAATCACATCACATTTAGTTTTTCAGAAGGCAGACCTTCATCAATGCCAGAACTAATCGAGACGTTTGTGCCAGGATGAGGAGAAAGGTATTGTAATAATGTAAATTATGTAAAAAAAATAATGCGTTTTTCGAACCACCAAGCATGAGAGTACTTTTGCATTGTAAAAGAGCATAATAGGACCCCTTTAAGAAATAAATACTTTAAAAACTGAATTTTGAATTTGAATTTTTTTTTTAATTTGTATATGTTTGACTAATCAGCATTTCAGAGATATTTTTTACTGTATGTTTTGTTATCTGTGATGACACAACAAATTATTTGACCGCAAAATATGTCAGAAAATCTGACGAAAAAAAGACCTGCTTACACTAGAGTTAGTGTCTTTCTGGTCCGTACACATTTCCTGCACATGTATAACAAGAGAGAAATGATGGCATAAAGAAAGGTGAGCGCGCCCACGAGGCACACTAGGGAAAGAAAGGGGTCTAGTGTCACGGAGACCAGCTCTGCACATCTCTCCCCGATAAATTGCCGGAATTTACCTACAGGACATCTAAAAGGGTCGAGAGAGACAGTTAGAACATGCACAGTGGAGGATTATTCCTATAGAGATCCATCAGAGCTACACAACAACATCCCTGTGTTTACATGTTTCTAAAGAACAGTCATTTCCTGAATTTCTTTTAAGAAATTACCAAAAATACTGGAGTGCTGGCAAAAATATTAAGTTTGCCAACATATAGTCAGAAACTTGATTTACCTAGTTAAGGTAAAAACCTAGATCTCACATTAGAGACAAGCATTCTATTCCATTCCAAAACAGAACTGAATTGCATTTAGATCATGGAATCTAACTTTTCATAGCTATATGTGACCCTGGACCACAAAACCAGACAGTTTTGAATTTAAAAAAAAAAAAAATTATCATCTTAAAGCTGAATAAATAAGCTTCCATTGATGTATGGTTTGTTAGGATCGGACAATATTTGGCCGAGACACAACTATTTGAATATCTGGAAACTGAGTGTGCAAAAAAATCAAAATATTGAGAAAATCTCCTTTTAAGTTGTCCAAATGAAGTTCTTAGCAATGCATATTACTAATCAAGTTTTGATATATTTACAATACGAAATGTACAAAATATCTTCATGGAACATGATCTTCACTTAATATCCTAATGATTTTTGGTGTAAAAGAATAATCAATCATTTTGACCCATACAATATGTTGTTGGCTATGCCTACAAATATACCCCAGCGACTTAAGACTGCTTTTGTGCTCCAGGGTCACATATGTGTTTGTTCTCTGAGGTACCTGCAAGCGGCACCGTGCCCTGGTACAATCTCACACTCTCCTCCATTGAGACAGAAGTCAGGCTGGACCACGCAGAGGCTCCGACATGGCAGTCCATCCACCGTCACGTAGCCTGGGTCACATAAACATTGTGCTTCCTTTGTCCAGAGGTTTACCACGCAGTTGGAAAACTCGTTGCAGGCAAGAAACTTGCAAGGGTCACCTTGATCAGCTAAAATGAAAGAAGAAATGGGACTCATCTAAATTGTAGCAGTTCTTGATCTTCTGTGAGAAATTCTGTCCGTGTCCAGACAGACTGATGCAGTTTTGAAATGAACCAGCCAGCTGATGTATGATGCTTGCAAAGCCCAAGACTCTTACCTGGTTCTATGTCTAGGGAATGGCTGTCAACCTTTATGTCCAAATACTGGGCTGCAGCATTACAAAACTCCTCCAAGACGTGCTGGACAGCCTGAGTAATGTTGTACGGCACAGACTTGGCAAATTTTGCCTTGCTATTGACCACCACACTTCCGTTTCTGAAGTTTAGGATCTCTAACTTCTTAAAGCCTGTTAGGTTAGACTGTAGATATGGGAGTAGCTGTGCACAGAGGAGACAAAAGCCTAGTTTATGTATGTCCACCATTCAAAATCCACTGGACAATTGCAGGAGTTAGCAGAAGGAATCTAAGCACAAATATTATCTAACTGCAGAGTGTAAGTATAGTCTCGTTTTTAAAGATTGCATAGGCTATGCAGTGAAAAGCATTAAGATGAAGCAATATGCAGATGTCCACCCATTCACTCATCACTGTAAGAAACCGCTTTATGAAGAAAATAAAGAGTTGTATGTTTTCTTACTGTAATGTCCCACTATTAAGGAGGATGTTAATAAGCCAGCCAACAGAAATTGAAAGAGCTGCACTCACCAGTTCAACAAATGTGTTTTCCAATGATCGGTATTCTGCAGAGCTCTTATTGAAAAGATCTTCAGAGAACAGCATGTTTGTGACACGCAAACTGAAAAACACAACTAGTTCTTTGCCTTTGTTAGCTGTGGTCATAGAAGGAGTTGTGAAATACTTTAGTGATGGCGCTCTTGTTGTCTCCAAGGGATATCCTTCATTTGGGAAAGAATATCCATTGTCATAACTCAAGAGATCAATGGTCTCAGTACTTACTACATCTATTTGGTCTAACTCTTTTAAATGAATAAATGGGTCTTCAGTTTCCACATCCAACACTTGGTCATTTTCTGACTCAAATATAACATCCTGGGCAACAGTTGGTTGTGCTTTTTCGGTCTGTGAATCATAATCCTTTTCCAAAAATATTGGAGTAACGACTGATGCATCTGTTAGAACAGCATCCTGAGTTTCCACATTCAGCATTTTGTCATTTTCTGTCTTCGTAAAATCAACATCCTGGGCAACAGTTGATTGTATTTTTTCAGTTGGTGAATCATAATGCTTTTCTAAAGAGGTTGGCGTAACGACCGATACATCTGTTAGCACTACTTCAAAACTGTTAAGGTCTGTAGGTGAAGTTGTCAAAGGTAGATGAGTTGTGAGTGTCTCCATGGGTTGTGATGCAGTCTCTTCTTCTACAAGGAGATCTTCTGTCTGAGTGTCTTCCTCTGGGAAATCATTAATGATAGGTTATAAACTACATTTTAAATGGTGAAATAGTTGCACACTGAAATAGTTCATTTTGTGGAACAGTGTGACTGTTCAGTAATAATCTTAATTTCTCTTTCCCCCATGTAGATGAGGTACAACTGCTTTCACTTCTGCACTCGGGTGTCTTGTTTTCTTTTTGACTTTTATCCTGCCTCAACTCCAGTATCAAATTCTGTACTCAGATCTGGGATTGGGAACTGAATAAGTGGGTTTCAGATGATAGCTAAAACTTGGCTATCTTGTTACAATTTTCAACATTTTTCTGAACATCTCTTTGACCAAACAATTTTATTGAGAAACACAGATGGCATGGATCTCTTACCCATCTCTGTGAGCTTTGGCTCCTCGGTATCTCCAACAACAGATGGTAACTCCTGGGCAACAGTTGATTGTACTTTTTCAGTTGGTGAATCATAATGCTTTTCTAAAGGTGTTGGCGTAACGACCGATACATCTGTTAGCACTACTTCAAAAATGTTAAGGTCTGCAGGTGAAGTTGTCAAAGGTAGATCAGTTGCGAGTGTCTCCATGGGTTGTGATGCAGTCTCTTCTTCTTGTTCTACAAGGAGATCTTCTGTCGGAGTGTCTTCCTCTGGGAAATCATTAGTGATGATATAAATTACATCTGAAGTGCAAAATAGTTAATGTGTGACAGTTCAGCAGTCATATCCCCTCAAATATTCTCTTATACATGAGATAAAAGACGTTCACCTTAAACAACTGCTGTCACTTCTGCACTCAGGTGTCTTATTTTCTTTTAGCCTTTTATTCTGCCTCAACTCCACAATCAAATATAAATTAGACAGTCTGTAATGTTCTGTAATGAGAGCTATGATTGGGAGCATCTCTCTGAACATCTCTTTGACCAAACAATTTTATTGAGAAACACAGAT